TATATATATATATATATATATATATATATATACACACACAGCATTTCATAGAATCTTTTGCCTTTTATCATTCAGCCCAATCAATAAGTTCTGGAACTGAACAAAAGGCTTGTTAGACAATGACTTGTAGAAGACAAAAAGATAAATCTGAAATGTAATTTCTTATACACCTCTGATTTCGAGCCACAAAGTACCACTTAAGAGGAGTGCGGGAAAAATAACATCTAGAGTTAGGTTGTTTTTATAACAATAAAATATGCTGACACACGAGGTCTTCACTAAAGCACATTAAATGGTTATAATGGCATATTTGGACTTTGACAGCAGCATCACATGATCAAGAATGATACAACCCTGTTGGCAGCAATGTAATTGAAATAATTGAGACGATATTACTATTTAGTCACAGAAACACTAACAGACCAGTTTATTAGGAACACCATCTAATGCTGCACGAGACCACCTTTTGGCAAAATAATAGTCTGTATCCAACAGGGCACAGATCAGTGTTAAAAATTAGCACTAACTAGATGAAAGAAACAACAACAAAAACATTGGGTTTTAGTGTTTAACTAGTGACCATCAAGGAGCACTGACATTTGTTTTTCTTACCAGTTCAGACATGATTATAAGCATTTAAACCAATTGTAAACAAGGGTCAAATTACAAGAAAAACATCTAGCTGCAAGCACAACATTTGTTGTAAAAAAGCACATTATGGTAATTGATTAATAAGCCTTTTCTGGTATTTTTGTGCATTTTTGAATAGGATTCCCAAAGCTAAAAATAGCAAATAAAAACAGTACTTTCAAATGATGTTTTAGTTTGTTTTAATTTTTTTTAATACTAAGGAATGTAATTATTATCACAAATATGGATGTAATAAACATTAAAATTTCATGGTATATTAAAAAACATGAAATAAAAAACTTGAAACTTCCTGGAAACCCACATCAGCTGACTAATTACACCTGCTAAGAGTACACAACTCAAGAATCATTTGTTTCACTTTTTTCTTTACCAGGAAAGCTGAAGCTACTACAAGTATATTTTAAAGTAATTAGCAAACATTTTCCAGTGGCTAAAAAAGTTAGTTTCTAATCATGATAGGCTTACAAGATGCCAAAAGGTTTCTTGTTTGATTACAGACTATTCATCAAACAATATGGCCAACAACTGGTTCATAGATTTTATGGTGTGAAATGTAATATCCAAGTCTATCTCAAAGATGCTTAAATGGAATGAGGTACACTGACTGTGATAGCCAAGGAAGACAAATGAAATATCTGTTATTCTTTTAGAACCAATTTTAGACAATGGATTGTTGAATTTTCATCTTGTCCATCAGTAAGAGAGAGATATGCAGCTTTGTTGGCTTGACAGGATCACCAACAACAATCAAGTACAGTCTGGATGTTATTTAACCTTCCAAAGGAATCAAATAACCCATCTCATGTCACAAGAATGTTTCCTGCACAATCAATACTTAAAGAAGATTGCACTATTGGAACAATATAAGACCAAGTGACTCTCTCTATTTTTATATATCTATCCTGAGTAGAGAAAAAGGATGAAACACAACTTCAAGTCATTTATTGTACACAGTTTTTGTCTACACAATACTAAAGTTGTGCTTTCCTATTTGCATCTGAAAAATAAGCATTTGTTTAGAATAATTATCAATTGCCAAATGTCAGTTTTTGCAATGTCCTTTGTATGGTACAATTTTAGATAGTTCAATCCAAGCTGTTGAAGAAATAGGTCAATTACGACACAGTATGATGTACCTTAACAGCTTGCAATCACTTTTTCCCTTAGGCAGCCATAGAGTTTATTTCTGATAGCTAATATTGATAGACTTCGATGACAAGTACATTGGAGCAGTCAGTCTAATAAGCAGTCTTTAATAATGATGTTCCTTCTATATAGACACTCTGATCATACCCCTTTGAAAGTTGGAGATATGCTTGCTCTTACTCATTGTTTTGCTAACTAACCATGATATGATGGCATCTCAGTATAAGACTTAAAAGTCCCCTGAAATATCCCATTGCCAGTCTGGTTTTATTTATAAAAAATAAATGAAATATTCTAGAAATGTGTGGGGGATGTCTTTATAAAGTGGCCACTCAGTGTACAAATAAAACATTGAATAACATGATGCATTTTTTGAAAAATTCTTAAAAAAAAACAACCTCTCAACAGGTATCTCAGGTTGGGACCATTAGCACACTATTCAATTTGGAAAATTATGTAACAATTGTTAAATGTAATATATGCATGGAAAGAAACAATTATAACTAATGTTAGTTATTATAGAAAAAAAACCTGTGTAACTGCGTAAGTAAATAATCAAATTATGTACCCTTTACTAAGTTCCACTTTTACCTTTATCCCAGTCTTAAATCAGAGTCCCAAAAATTTCCTTTCAGTCTATTTTGCTAATAATAAATCAGATTGAAACGAAGGCTACTTAATGTGTGAGGATAAAAATGTTTCACGAACTGTCATATACAAAACCACATACAACCAATATAGGCTTTGTCATCACTAGTCAGCTTTTCTGCTGCTCTGTCACCACAATGTCTATGAATGTTGGTTGTTGAATGTGATACTGTATGAATATGAAGCATGTCTGTAAAATTCACATTGTTCAAAAGCTAATGTTGTGAAAATTAGAAAAGAACAAAGGTAGTCAGTTGTTTGCTGAAGGTAAGGTAAACTCAGTGCAATAAGTGGGTTTGTCAGCAAGTTGATATATATATATATATGTACTCACACCCTGTATGAACTAAAAACAACAAGAACAAAACCTGAGCATGCCAACAAAGGTCAGAACCTTACAAAGGAGATGCTGGAAAATTTGAGATAGTAGGTCTTAACTAAGGCAAAAGTAGAACAAAATTCTAAATAAGAACAAAAACATACTCTAGGAAAGAACTTACGAAATGAGCTATGAGTGAGTGACCACAAGCCTGTCACAAATTACTAAATTAAGATTAACTTTTGGAAATTGAAGAAAAAGAAATAACTAAAAGAACTGAAAAAGTTTTGACTCATAACAAACTGATTGGAGTATCTGAATTTAAATGTAAAACAGTAATAAGACATATACTCACAAATAGACATCACTGGGAGTTTATCTCTATTGTCATGTTGTCTTTTATCATTTAAATATAAATCAACATGCAAAATGTCAGATATAATGGACCAATCAAATGACATGTCACTGTTATTTTTAGCTTTTTTGTTGTTGTTCCAGAAGTATGTTGAGAGAAAAGAGAGTTTAAAGATTATAACAGAAGCTTTAAGAATATGAGTTTAAAAAAATAACTTATGTTTACTAAATCTACAACAAACAGTTTTCAAAATAATATCACCTATATTAATAATATCTATAAAAAATTTATAGAGTATTCTAAAAGTAAAATAATATGGAAATCACAAACTTTTGTGAGTAAATAAAGGTCTTAATTTCAAACAGATGAAGAACTTGTTCAAATAAAGAGTATCAAGTCTGCTTCATACATACCAGTGAGAGCTGTACATACTAAACCAGGCTTTCAACACACTGACTGACTGCTGCAACATAAAAAATAAAGAAGTCATGATACATACTTAAAATAAGAAACAATCTTTTCAAAGTTAACATCTTAATGACGTAAATACTGGACTTGTAATTTGAATAACTATATTTAGTTGCATGTGCATGTAATTCTAACACTATACAAGTAATAAATCTCAAGACCTAACTTTGAAAGCAAGTTTGTATGAAAAAGTGTGTAACACACAAGTTATAAAAAACTTCTGATCAAAGCTAAGCTAACTATGTAGATCAGAATTGAAAAATATACTTAATTTCATAAATCATTATTCTAGAAAACTTAAATCTAAAATTAGTAGGATGCACTAAATCATCAGTTGGGTATGTTTACTCAATAAGCTAAACATTTTGTATCATCACCTACTGAGTGTTTTCTTACCCTAAATCTAAACTCATTACACATTCAGTTTTTGATCTTGCACTGAAAGAAAGTTACCTCAGCTACAAACAAACATTAATAACTTATTCATTAAACAGTAACTTTAACATTCAAGTGTTACATGTATGCAGAAGAAAGCTTATAATAATGAGTCAGCTCATTAAACATTCATGTGCTTATACATATGCTGAAAAAACAATAATAAAAATTAATTCATTAAACAATAATTTTACCATTCAAGTATATTTTGTGGATGCAAAAACAAAAATATGTTACTTCATTAAACAGTAAGAGTATAACATTCATGAGTTATGTGTGATGCAAAAAACAAAAATATGTTACTTCATTAAACAGCGAATTTAACATGAAAGTATTATATGCGTGCTGAAAAAACCCAGTTCAATAAAGTGCAGTTTATTATATCTAAAAATTATAATTTTATTAAAACTAAACGTAGTATGTACAATAGCTTGAATTTATAAACTTATCTTAGTCTTCAGCAATTGCTTGAAAAAAAAAGATAAACAAGTAAACTAGGTAAAAATTGCCCTACAATCTACCACAGTATGTATGTACAACTACTTAAGCTCATGCTTTAATTTACAGGTACGTTTATTACGTCACTAACCGTACCACGGTAACCTTTATGTAATTTAGAGTATTTTTTTCTTTTTTTATATAATTTAAAAGGACACCAGCTACTAAAATGTTATGACGGAAATTTTTTTATTGTAACCATCTTATGTTTTTGATAAAATAAGACACCGAATATCATGGATCTCTGTCACAATGCTGACAAGAAACGTCGAAAAAGGCAACAATATACGTTTTGTGTACTGTTTGGCTGCCTCACTTTGACAAGACATTTACCTGGTTACGAAAGAATACTGGTGTCTCTAAATCTAACAAGTCTGTTTGTTACATACGCCAACAGCAGTTATGTAGTGCTAAATTTAGAAGCGAGGGGTCGCTAAGATCTCTCTAACTTAACCTTTGACAGAACAGCTAGTTATCAAACTGGTTATTTGACATGGCAACAGTGTTTACTAATTAATTAGAAATTCAGAAAATCATTGCTTGAGGTGTATAAAACGACAGTGTATTCAAGGTCAGAGAGCTTTCAGCTAATGATAAAAATGATATCAGACATGGTTACAATCCCATCAATCCGTATTTCAATGTATAAGAAAGCAGCAGGGGAAATAATCTGCATTTAAAATAGGGGAGAAGCGCATCCCCTGAACATGAAGTGAAGAGTCGGCGTTCCCTCGCGATCCCGCAGGACTATATTACTGACCAACAGTTGCTAGGCTATAAACTTCAATTCTAGGTTTCAAAACTTAAAAATACAAAAAGAAAAAGAACTGAATACTATACATCATAACCAAATAACTAAAACGCAAGAACATATTCGGTTCAAAATTAGCTAAAACATTTTATTATAGCAGTCTAAGCCAATTCTAGGGTGCGTGTGTGTAAAAACACATATAATATACGGTATTTTAGATTAAAGCTAATTCATAAACTTAAAGCCCAATAAATTTGTCACTAATATCGTATTTTATTATAATAAGACCGCAGTAAAAGAAACACTTCTTCAAAAACATTTGCCCCCCAGTGACACAGCGGTATGTCTGCGGACTTACAATGCTAGAAACCGGGTTTCGATACTCGTGGTGGGCAGAGCACAGAATGCCCATTGTGTAGCTTTGTGCTTAATTCCAAACAAACAAACAAAACATTTCTTCACATACGGGTAAGAAATGCCACTGCGTGATAGTCATTACTAAACACAAGATTTATAGTCAACGTATGTCTGATAGTATTTTACTACCTAAAATTATTAATTTATTACTTATTTGATGCAATTGCATTTTAATATCTCAACTACAGCATGTGGAATGTATAGTTTTTTAACGCGACCATTTTAACTTTTTTTTAAATAGCAGGAAGTTAATGCTAATAGACTTTCTCGGTTAGTAACCGTCAATTTGTGGTTTAGTTCCACCCATGGAGGCTCACATTTACAGATCATGTTATACATCAAAGGTGAAATTAGATTATTGTGTTACGAGTCTGTAATGTATCCTGTTTCCATCTCCCAGCAATGCTTAAAATGAACAAACATCAGGCAGCTACGTACTGCATAATTAGAATTCTTACTACGAAAAAAATAAACTGGAGCAAGTATAGCTAGTTATATCATGATTCAAGTATTCACTAAACTGAAGAAATAATAAATGTCATATTGAGATGCATTGACTTCTATATTGTTTTTTTTCTAATACATCTTAGTACCTTAATTATCTACTGTATTCTATTTTTTTAAAAGTAAAATACACTCACGGGAAAAGCGCTGCAGACAGTGTAATGCACTTTGAAGCACCCAAGTAATATAACCAGATTTAACATTTTATAAAACACCAGCCTTTTTTTTTAATCTGACAAACAAATTTCCTTTATTCGACTGAAACATATTACTACACACAGTAGAAATTGCGTCAGTACATCTACACAGTGGACATCTGTTCTCTACCCACCACGGGTATCGAAACCCGGTTTCTAGCGTTGTAAGTACGCAGACATACCGCTGTGTCACTGGGAGGCTTGAAGCACAGAATCGGATCAGATAAGAACTGATGAAATATTGTTTTTCATTTGCAATATTTAGTACTGATTTTGTTATTTTTACTGTACTCTTAATGAAAATGAAATGTTGATACTATAGGCTTAAGCAATATTTATATTATGTATAAAACTTATTGTATCAGATTTACAACTACCAACTTCCACCACGGCTGAAAATAGCGTAAAAAAAAACAACCCCTAACCGTCCTACATATATTGATAAAAAATATAGCTTCTCGTGATGAAAATATATTATAACACAATTTTTATATGATTTTTGTCCAAATGTCTTCAATTCGTGCCCAGTCATTTGGATACTAGAAATACTACAAAAAATTATATGTATATAGTATTATTTACGTACTTTTCTTTCTCATTTCTGAACACTGATAAATACTAATAATTATGCACAAAGAAAACAGTATTTCCATCGATTAATTATTTCATCTATTTCTTTGCGCCGTCGTCACAATTACAACATTACTGTCATTTGATTAGACTTAGAGAATGTTAAAAAATACTCATTAATTTTCCTTTACTACCTCTAAAAAAAAAGTCAAATATTAATATGTTGTTTGTTGAACTTCGCGCAGAACTACTCAAAGGTTACCTGCCGTCTCAAACTTTGAGGTGATAGATTAGAGGGAAGGCAGCAGATGCGTCGCTAGGTGGTTAAAAGATTCGGGGCTAGGGGCCCATAGACGTGGGAATATTCGGCATTTCAGTGTGATATCGATCAAGGTTTTCTATTCTGATTTTTCAAGCATCAACTGGTAATTCGGGGTACTGTCAAATAGCGCCTAGCGACACCTCTGGAAGGCAGTTAGCCAACGTAACCCACCGCAACTCGTGAGTTACTTTAATTGAATAGTGGGATTTGACTGTCATTCTTGTAATGCACTCACAGCCCCAAAGTGTAGAGAGCGATTTTTTTTTTGTTTTGTTTGGCGGTAATGGGGCGTAATACACTGAACCTCGGATCCAGAATCCGGTACACTAACATAAACATTAGCTTAACTAACGTGAATCGTTATAGTCACCAATGTATTTGTAACAATCGTATCTAGGTTACTCAATGATTGGAACCTGTCTACAATACTATCATAATTACACATCTATATAAATATAATAGTACTGTCTGTTATCTATCCATGTAACTACTTCGCAGGGTGTGGATGAATCTTCACCCAAATTGGTATGGAGATTCATTTGGTCCATGCGGGGAAAATACAAATTTTCAGTTTTGCGTTTTTTATGGGCGTTTTTTACCACTACTTCGCCCCTTGTAGATGGAACTTCACGAAATTTTGTATGGGACTTTACTGGATCTATGAGGAGATATATGCAAATTTTCAGTTTTGCATTTTGCGTTTTTTATGGGCGTTTTTGCGTTTTCTACCACTATTTAGCCCCCTATCGATGGATTTTCACCAAATATGGTATGAAGGTTCATTGTGTCCATGGGGGGATAAAAAAAAACTTGCGGTTTCACATTTTTTATGGTCGTTTTTGCATTTTTTACAATTGCATATAAGGGAAGCAACTTTTCATGTCCTAAGATAACCTTTCAT